GAACTAAGTAACAAGTATAAAACAAACAAGTGAAAGGAAAAGGAACTTAGCCAAAGAAAACTGAAAAACCCAAAAAGCAAATATTAATGATGAAAATATGCAATATCTCGATTACTAGCAGCCTTCTGAAAAAGGTATTGTTCAGCCAGAGGACATCAGTAATGTCCCAACAGAAAAGTGTTTAGGAAATTTTGGGTTTGAGCTTGAGAAATATGTTAACGTGGGTTCATGGCCTAAATCGCTAAGTAATAATTTTATTGATTATATTCTTTCGCATGTGAAATGAGTTATTTTCAAAATAAAGATCCAAACAATGTATATTCTTTTTCTGTAAGAGAATACAAAGAACAAAAGTGATCGTTTTCGAATAATCCTTTCATTGACAAACTTAAAAATTACCAAGTGCTGGAAAGATCTTGTCTATGTTAGTGAACAAGTGTTGATAGCGTTTTTTGTTTGACCTACAAACTTTTTTGTAAAACAAATTCTCAATACACCACCGGCTTTTCTGATTGGAAACACGTAACACGTTTAGAAAATCATGAAAATTCTATTGAACATAAAATTTCAGAGTTAATTTGGTTGACACGAAAAGAAAATAAGTCTGTTTTAGATAAACAGTTAAAGGAGCAATTAAGAAAAGATACAGAATATTACCACAATGTCCTCAAACGTGTTGTTGCGGTAGTTAAGTATTTGGCTATTAGAGGTTTAGCATTTAGATGCACCGAGGAAGTTTTTGGTTCTCCTCATAATGGTAGTTTTTTTTGTGCTCTGGAATTGCCAGCAGAGTTCGATCCATTCATTCGTGAACATATTGAACTGCGAGAATTACGACCGAAATCGTTAATGTCGTACTTATCAAAAACAATATATGAGCAAATAATTGAGATCATGGGTAAGCACAAATCATTAAAACAATTACAACTCAAGTAAATAATGATGACACAAAGAACTATTCAATTGCGATTAATTCAACACCAGATTTGACCCACAATTACCAACTTGTGATTATACTACGGTATTGTTTTCGGGGAAAAGTGTATGCAAGATGTGTCTCATTAATTGAGATTAGTAGTCACACTGGCTTATTTAATTCTGTACAAGAAGTTTTTGAAACAAATGGACTGCTATTGGATAATTGTAGGGGGACAGTCATTTGACAATGCTGCCAATATGTTTGGACAATGTAATAGTGTGCAAGCAGTTATAAAAGAAAAAAATAAATTTGCTAATTATGTGCCGTGTGTTGCGCATTCTCTTAATCTGGTTGGTGCAGAATGAGTTAAGGTTATAACTGAAATCGTGAACTCTTTTGGTTTAATGTAACAAATATATGTTTTCTTTTCTGCTTCGACCCATAGGTGGGCACTTCTAAATCGTGAAATTAAACTGAATTTACCTTAATAAGAAGTTTAAATCAAACCAAATAGTCTTGTCACTATGATGCTGTTGAAGCCTTAAAAGGTAATTCTGGTAATATCCTGAATGTTCTTAAGACATTTAGTGACAATGAAAATGAGAAAATTGATTTTCAAAAAGATGCAGTAAATTTATTTAATACATTAACAAAACTCGTGACTGCCATTTTAATTATATTTTGGGAAGAAATTTTAGGAAGATTTAATTCAGTTAACAAAAAATAATGAGACTCTTGGTTTTGACATCTATGAAGGGAATGTTAATTCTGTCATTTAGAAATGTTTATAAGTAATGTACGACATGAATCAGATCAAAAACTAAAGGAGCATCAAGACGCAGCTAAAAAAATTAAGTCCTAGTTTAGAGATAAAATATAGCGATGTGAATAAGAAACCGGTTATTTCAAAATTTGTGGGTAAATCCACAGAAAAAGCTGTGTATGGGACAGAAAAATTTAAGAGACACACTCATTGTTGCGTTAGATAAGCTAATTCTTGATTTAAATACAAAAAGTCCAGTATATGCAGAATGTAGTAAGAAATTTAAATTTTTGATGGATTTGCAAGATCAATGTAAAGAGAAAGTCGATTTGGAGAGTATACGCGCTATTATTGATTACTGTTCAGATGACGTAGACCAAACATTTAGTAAATGAAGGTGTTCAATTCAAAACTTAATTAAAACAAGCTGAGCTATACTCGTAGTGATATGTTCAATTTAATTTTTGAAAAGAAATTTGTGGACATTTTTCCAAATTTGTCTACCATTTTAAATATTTTTATAACGCTCCCTATTACTGATTGTGAAGCGGAGTGTGCATTCTCTAAAATGTCCTATATAGAAAACAAATAAAGGACAACAATGACAGATACTAGGCTTAATTATTTATCACTTCTTTCTATTAATACTGATCTCACCAAAGACTTAAAATGTGATAAGCAAATAAAAGAATTTGCAGCACAAAAGTGTTGTAAAAGTTTTTTTGTAAATTATGTTATTGTTTATAACGTTTTTAAATCATTCGAAATAAAAAAAAAACAAACATTTCGTATATTTTAAATTTTTCCACACAAAAATTTTTTGAGGAAAATGGCAAAAATTTTAATTACTGGAGGGGCTCCCAGATATCGTTAGCCCAGGGCCCCCAAAAGTCACGGTCTGGCCCTGGAGAAGATAATTAAAAATTTAGACAAATCAGAATATTTAGAATTTGAAAAGGCAGTAATATATCAAATGCTTTTTTTTAGTAATACAGAAAAAAACATGACTGCTATAAATGAAACTATATTAAAAGATCAAAGGTATCTCACAAAATTATTCAGAGTCATTTTACATGAACACTATTTTACAAAAGTTATATTAATGCAGAGTTTGGTTGTGTAAAGATGGTTTAATTAGTCATCAAATTAGACTGGAATAATATATTGACAATGCTTGAAAGACTTGGGAGATAAAATCTTTAGTTCCAAAAGCATTAATTGATATTACAAAATAAATTTTGTCTAATGTAGAAGTTTAGACTCTGCATGCAATTGTTTCAGGCTTGAATCCAAATAAAATTTTCATTTCACTTTTAAACTGAACAGAAAAACTGCACAGTTTAAAAGTGATGCTAATTGTCAAAGAAATATTTGATTTTTCGAAAATTGAACTAAAAAATTCAAAATTTGCAAAGAATATAAAATTTTCTGAAGGATTCTTTTCTTCAAAATGGAGCTTTGAAGCATTTTTATTCAGTTAGAAATAATCTCAGATCTCAATGAGGAATAATCTATATGGACAAGAATAAAAATAAGTAAGATGAGATAGTATTTACTTATTATATACATAGCCTGTCAGCCATTTTTACTGAATCAAATATTGCCATCAAATGCAACCACAAAATAAAAATAATGAAAATTGTTAGAAAGGAAATCATTATAAAAAAAAAAACGTGTTAAAACAATTACCAATATTTAAAACATGACTATCTTGATTGGGTTTACTGTTCATTAACACATTTCTTCCATTTATAATACTGCGAACACTTTCTATTAAATAAGCTGAACTTTTTTTGACAAATTAAATTTAAATGTCTTATTTGTCTAGAACATGTTCTGTCCAGATAATTTTATTCTTTTTTTTTTTACCATTATGGTTCTTTAAATTTTAAACAATGTAATTTTTTCAAAAAATCAAGTCCTCTCCAAATTTTTCAAAAAGGTAATTATTTTTTTCTATTTTAGTATATTTAACTAATTGAAGAATTTTCCACCCCCAACCATCTTAACTGTTTCGTGACAGGTGTGTCATATATGCTAAAGTCTCAACCCCACTTATCATGTGTTAGGCCATTCAATGCACTTTTCATTGAAGACGACCAATCCTGTAAAACAAGTAAGAAACGCAATTCATCAGTGTGTCTCCCGACTGCTCTTGACATTTGGGTTGGATGCGTATGTGACTTCCCATCTCTAAAATGGGTGGGTACTAGCATAATATTGCAACAATCACCAACTCTATTAATAACTCGCAAAGTTGGCCATCCCAATTTCCTATGTGTCATATGTGCTAAATTGGTAACCAAGTGCTTCGTTTCATATAGTGTTGCTAATAGGTTACAATAATAACATAAGTACCCTAAAATGTTTTTCGTTGATCAGTATGTCATGGCGAAAAGGTTAAATGTAAAGGAGAAAGATTAGAGCTCAACAGAGCTAAGTACTCCAATAATCATCCCCATGACTAGTTGCTTTGTAATTATTATCACGAATCATGAAAGTAATGAGGAGCAAATTATGTTATTTCCTTTGCTCTGATGATTCATATGTGAAGAGTACTTTGAAAAAAATAACAAAATTGGGTACTTGCTTATTAGCGTCACCGCGCAGGAAAATTGGCACCACGTGAATCTTACCATAATATCAAATAACATTCTAAAGTGTTTTATATATAAAAAAAGAAACACTAATTAGTCATATTTTGATGGAAAATGGCATGATTTGCTATGCACCAATTTGGCCACAGTGATTCTAATACGTAAGTACCCCAAATTGTGGTGGTCTTCTATAACATGGCTGAAAAAATAAGGAAATTTTTTTTGCTACGTTCTATGGTATGCATATATGTAATATAAAAATAGATATATTATTTGTAAGCTTTAACCAAGAACTTGGATGATGCAAGATCAATGCAATATTTCGTCAGCTTTTCCTTTATTGTGTACGAACGTTTTATTGTTTAAGTATCCGGATACAAGTAATTGTCATTGTTTTGGTTGTGGTTGAGGTGTTGTTTCAGCTCTACACGGTTTATTAATGCATGAATATCCCCAGTGAAAAGCATTCATTATTCCTAACTGCGTGCAGAACTTACAGTTTGGAGTTTCTAATTTTAGCCTTACATTCGTAGGACTTGTGTCCCTGTTGTTGGCAGTTATAACAGTGAATTTGAGACCGTTTTCCTACCTCGTTACTAACGTTAGGTACACGATTAAACGATTCTGATTGCTTCATTTCTCTTTTATATGTCTCATACACTCGCAGCTTAGTTTTAAATTCTATTATAGAAGTGCACCCAAATAACATTGTTTTATTTTTCATTTATTCCTTTAAGTTTCAGCTTTGCAACCACTCTTCCCCCGGAGCCTGAACTCAGGTTTCCCGGGCAAGCTGCCCGGCGCGTCACCTTTGTACGCAGCCGTATCGCTGGCGGGCATCGTTTAGGGTCAGAACTACAAAGGTATCTAATCTTCTTTGAGCCTCTGACTTTCGTTCTTGGTTAAGGGAAGCATTCTTGGCAAATGCTTTCGCAGTGGGTCGTCTTCCGACGCTCCAAGAACTTCACCTCTAGCATCGGAATACGAATGCCCCCGTCTGCTCCTATTAATCATTACCTCAGTCTCCATCTATCCCCAACGAACCTAGAGCCGAAGTCATGTTCCATCGTATAGTGCATTACTATCCGAGCCTTTCAAAGCCCGCTTTGAGCACTCTAATTTTTGTAAAGCGATAACCGCCATCCACCGGGGGCCGACCGGTTAAAACCAACCCCCGAGTGGCAAGCAGAATGCCGGGTGCGCATGGCGGACCACGTGAGCGGCCCCCTACGTCCAGAGCAGACATTCAACTACGAGCTTTTTAACTTCAACAATTTTAGTTTTAATAAACATATTACTTTCAAATTTTAAAATAGTCGTCCTAAATATTTAAATCAAATTACTTATTGACATGACAAATTTGCATTTTACTTTTAAATCATACAAATAACATCAACTTTAATTAAATATGTTAAATTCAAATTTTAAAAAGTTGTCATAAATATTTCCACAAGTACCATTGCTTGAAATTAAACACAATTTCATGAAATCCATGAAAGAAAAAAAAAACAATTTCAGGAACATTAACAACATAAAGTTCTCACCAAAAATCGAAAGCCGATTGAAGAGGAGAAGGGGAATACACTGGGACGAATTCCTTGTATTTCATGAGAGCAGACATTCAACTACGAGCTTTTTAACTTCAACAATTTTAGTTTTAATAAACATATTACTTTCAAATTTTAAAATAGTCGTCCTAAATACTGTTAACACAGACGGGAATTTCAGATACGACGACCTTGAAGTGCAATAATGTTCCACGTGTTATACTCCGTTGGTGATTCTATGCTCTTGTCTCCATTCAATTCCAATCTTAACAGCAGGGTATTGCTACTATTTTCAGCTGGGGGAATTTCACTCTTCGCTATCTCTTCCGATTTTCCCCCATATAAATACCTTTGTTCCCCTAAGTCGGGGTTCTTTTGCCTTTTAAAAAGTATTGTAACACGTGGCTTCAGTGCTGTTCCTATGAAAGAAACCCCGTACACTCAATAAAGATTTTAAAGTCCATAGCTGTCGTTACTGGGTCGTTAAAATGTGTCATATATATTTTCACAAATATGCATATGGTTTTTTTTTTCACTTATTCATTGTCAGTTCATCTTTTGAACAGTGTTAGCATGAACTTGTGTTTGGGGTAATAATTCATTCTGGGATTCAGGCGAAGAAAAGCTTTTCTCATTTTTTCTGTGCAGCTTTTGCTTTTTGTTAAGGTGTTTCCCATTTTTATGCAGAAGAAAATGGTTTTCATTATTTTGCTTATTTCAATTTGGGAACAGCCATAAACAAGTGCTTTAACAAGACAGTAAAGGTAAGATATTTTTTGTGATTTTTACTCTCTGCATTTGTTATACAAATGGGCTGAAGAAATTTAAACCATAACAATGCCACATGAAAAGAAGGGACCATCATTAAAATGAAATTTATCCTTTTGAAGTGTTCACAACCAATAAGTGATGATAAGGAATTGGTTTTTTACTGTAACATGTTCCTGTTTGAATTTTAATTACTAAACTTGAAATCTTGTTATGTTTTTAATTTTTATGTGTTGTTGAATTTTTAAAAAATTTGTTCTCAAATGCTTTTATGTATATATAATTACATAATTTAATAAAAAAAAAATCATATTGTTACTCTGTAAAAAAGAGTTTTTCTTCTTTTAGAACAAAATCCCAGTTATTGTATTAAATTTGTCTCACCTGTAATGTTGTAGATTTACTTGTATTTAATTTATATTCAGTATGACAACAATAATTCTTTTTTTTCTCTAATGGGGCTGCGGATTGGTATTTTTACCTTCGCAGACCTTGTACATTCCCCAGGAGCTGGTATCACTTTTTAGTGTGGCACCATATAGGCGATACCAATTGCTGCAAGTAATTTTAACACCCAATTTCCTCCCTAGAGGGAGGCACCTGAGCTCTGACGATGTGAAATTGTACTTAGGAATTTAATTTTGCCTAGAGCACCCAAGTCAAATGGGTACTCAAGGGATTTTTTTACATGCTGCATAATAATACGTCATGGAGGCTGTCAATTTTCTGCATCATGAAAATCCACCAACTTGTGCCGGGGTCGAACCCGCAACCGTAGGTGCAGAAAGCCAGCAACAAACCAACTATGCCACTCAACCGGCAAACAATACTTCTTCAACTTTACAATAAATAAAGGTGTACACTAAAATAGTATAACTTTTTGTTGCATTTGGAAAAATAAAAATAATTATTATGAAAAAAAGATAAATAAAATTAGTGATGTTTATTGCTGGTAAAATAGAACAATAAGAAGGTAGCAGCATAGTTTAATTTTAACTGGAAGTAATCATTTTAACTGTACACAAAGCAGCTAGCCAGCTGCACTGGTCATGCAGATTGCATCTAATTTAATTAGTATGCTGATAATGTAAGAGATTTTTCATAAGAATAGCAAAATGTTTGTTTGTAAATCAGTCTTTCATGTTTGTAAAAAATTGGAATCTGCCATGCACATATGACAGCATTAAATATCTTTTTGGAAGGAGAAAGATGAAATGATGCTACTCTATCCAAATTAATATATATGAATATTATATAACATTAAATTATCTAAATAATACAGTCCATTAAGAAATTCTAAGACCACCTTAATTTTGGGACTCTAAAGTAAATATTTCATTATAATATATATAAGGAAGTATATATATTACAACATATTTAATCAATTAGGTTTCAATAATTTTGAATTATGGGAAAGTAACTAAAGATATTAGAAATATAAATATAAAATACTTTGTTAGTCCTTTAACTGCTTATACTACAATATCGCAAATATGTATTTGTCACCTTTATTGATAAGCATACCCTTCTATTTACACATTTAAATGTTAGCGATATGTTTTATATAATAGTATGGGAAAATGAGGTACTTATATATTAGCGTCACCGCCGCCAAATTTGTGCCCCACAATTTGCCCCATTTTGACTAATTGCCCCCCCCCCTCCTTCAAATAAAATGTAAGAATCTTTATTATTTTGATATCATGGCACAATTCGCTTATGGTGACGCTAATATGTTAGTACCAAAAATGACTACAATCAGTAAATATCAAAACAGAACATCTTTTCTCCTGTGTCTAGTGTTAGGTGTCCATCTGGGTCATTTCCACAGCTTGATGCCTTGTTGGTGGTCAGTATAGATAGCTCCACTCGACATAACATGGGGAGGGGGATGCACAATATTTAAGGCTTTATATTTAATTTTGATTTACAGATAGAATTATTTTTCCTCTAAATTTCATATATTTCCTTAGAGTTTGTGAATTAGATCTCCCATTCTTATTATTTATGTACTTTTATGATACAGTTAGCAGGAAACATTCAGCAAATGGTAGAATGTATGTTTTGGATGAAATATTGTTGTTTTTATATACAAATATATTTGTTTTTTATAATACAAATGGGAATATGATCATAATTTAATTTCAGAATTTTGTCTTTATATCATTACATCTACAATTTACATTTCCAAACAAATGTTTTTATGATTTAAGTGATATTTAAAAAAAAGTATCTGACAGGAATTATGCTGCATTTTTGAACTCTCAAATATGTATCTTAAAAATAGGCTTTTTTGAAGCAATTTTGTGAATAAAATTGAGCACAGTCAGTGTTATAATGTATTATAACACCCTGAGACTTAAAGAAGAAGAACGAAAAAAAAAAAAAAAAAAAAAAAAGTTTTTTTTATCAGTCCTGCATATATTTTCCTTGATAACTTTAAACATAGTTGTTTATTCAAATGTCCAGTGGCTAAATTCAGTTTCATAAATATTGTGCCATTTTTTTTTTTTACAATTGCTATTTCTATCTGATTGGTAGATGAAAACTATTTATTATTAACATAAACTTTGAGATATAATGCACCTCCAAAGGTTTTCTTATGGGATTTAAGCATGAACCACATAGCCCTGGCAAAACATTAGCTTTTTCTTTTTTAAAACCATTCCTAAATGAATTTAAATTTATAGCAAGGAGCATTTCTCTGCTAAAATATCCACTAAAATATCCACAATTAGTACAACCTCCAGTTTTCAGTAAAGGCCTATGTGGTTGAGATAATGAAATACAATAGCTTGATATTTTGCAGATTCCATATGTCTGGAAGCTGGCTGTAATTCATCATGACTAGACTCCCCAAACCATTACTTCCTATTTGTTAAATGAAGCACTCCTTTGATTCTTTCTTCATCCCAGTAATGTCTTTTTCTTCAAGGTTAAATTTCTTTGAGGAGGAGTAAGGTGATGACTAAACTTTAAAGGTTACTTAAGTACTATACCATCAACCAATTTCACCAAATAAAAAAAAAAGTTGTAAATCAAAAAACATCACCAAATGCTTTTATTGTATGCCCAAATAAGATCATTGTGTTGGGGAACAGTTTTCCATCTATTGGCTGCTTATCACTGCTTTCAACAATGTCTTTTGACAAATTTGGCTGACAGTATAATATGAAAAACCCTTTAAACTTTTATGTTTACTAAAATTTTTAAGTTCTTAATTTGCATTTTCATATTCTTAATTTGTTTAATTTATTTAAAATTCTCTTTCTCATTTATCTAGTCATCTAATAGTCCTAAACATCTTCCAAGTGGTCCACCTGGGACTCGGCCATTATTGATGCCTCCTCCACCACCATTTGGAGTAAGTACATATTAGTATTGTTTCATCCAATTTATAATTCAACAGATTAGTTTAAATAATTCACAACCACATAAAAACTTGGCATTCTAAATTTCTAAATCTTTTTTATTTATTTTTCACTGTTGCCATTTACATAAAACCACAAATCTTTTATTTACAAAATCGCTTCAATACAAGTTGAGTTGTTTCATTTATTATATTTCTTAGAGTTTTGAATTTATTTTAGTTTAAATATATATATTAAATTGCATCTCATGGTTATGATATAAATATTTTTTAAATTCGTGACACTCCCACCTTTTGATTTTACATAGATATAAAAAAATCAAAACTTTTTTTCACATTAAAAAATTTAAGTTTAGAATAAAAAGTGTAACATTAATTATATCGTTTGTGTTCTATAACTTGTCTACCACATTTAGTTTTGATTTCTAAATTTACATTATCATTTTGGTTATTACAATTATTAAATTTTGAGTGATTGTCTTTTACATTTTTAAACAGTTCACTGTTATAAATTTTACTATCACTGTTAAGTTCTAGAGGATACAATCGTTTTACTGGACGTGCCAATTCTCCCATACGAGTTTTGACTTTTACAAC